CATGTATGCTAACGCTACCGTGTATGCTAACGCGAATGCTAATGCAAATGCTAACGCATTTTCTCATTGTTTTTAAACATCTCGACATGTCATCATATAAACACAATACATGTTACTAATCCTTACAGTGTAAGTGTAAGGCTCACACTTACACTTACAGTCATTGCTTTCTGACGGACTTGACCCTTTTACTCTTCAGGTTGCATAGGGAAAATTAGTAGCAGTCGACTGCCATGCTATTCAGTTCACTTTCTCCTACTTCCTGTAGGCTATGGAGGACGGAACATGACTTAAGTATAAATAAATAAATGTGTAAATAAATGTATGAAGAAATACAGGAATAAATAAATAAATACGTAAATAAATAAATAAATACAGGAATAAATAAATGACAAAATAAATACAGAAATAAATAAATGTTGAAATAAATACACAAATAAATAAATAAAAGAATAAATAAAAAAATAAATGCATAAATAAATATGGAAATAAATACACCAATGTATAAATAAATAAAACAGAACACACGTTATTATATATCTTTCATATATTTCTACATTTACTCGACATACATTTATTTATTTATTTATGTGTCCGTATGCTAATGAGGTGGGCGGTCCTAACCTCAGTCTGAAGCAGGATTGGTTACAGGAGTGTGTGATCATTTCTGGCAGAGGGCTATACTAACGCCTGGCTAACCGCGCTGATTCGAATGCAGGAGCTTTACTGTTTAGCCCTTATCTTTATACATCCATGGTTTGTCCACAGTTGTAAGGATTATTTATGAGTATTGGTTTAAGAGCCATTGGAGATCATTAGCGGACCATTTAGAGAACGGAGATCCAAAAGACTATGTCCTCTCTATGTCCAGTTTCGTGTGGAACGATGTATAGAGGACTTGGCTCAGCTCGACATGGATGTGGATGTTAACCCAGCTGTGTTTGAGAGTCTTCAAGAGGTTGCCCGCCAACTTGAAATCCTCTCGGAAACAGAGGAGGCGACCCTTGGGCGTCCATCTTACATGTTGCCCCCAAACGTTATTGAAGCACATCTTTGTTGGGGGCACACCGCTGGGGACATCGCGAACGGGTGTGCGAAAGAACAATTATTAAAGATGCCATTATTAGCGAGTTGCCGTGGGTGTACACTGTACACAGAATGAACAGATGTGACTTGCCACGAATCTCATGCTTCTGCCTGGCTCCAACAATTGGTGAATACTGCTTCAGACTGAGGTTAGGACCGCCCACCTCATTAGCATACGGACACATAAATAAATAAATAAATGTATGTCGCGTAAATGTAGAAATATATGAAAGATATATAATAACGTGTGTTCTGTTTTATTTTCGACTTTTATTTATTTATTTATACATTGGTGTATTTATTTCCATATTTATTTATTTCGTCATTTATTTATTCCTGTATTTATTTATTTATTTACGTATTTATTTATTTATTCCTGTATTTCTTCATACATTTATTTACACATTTATTTATTTATTTATTTATACTTAAGTCATGTTCCATCCTCCATAGTAGGCTACCCGGTTTCCTGTCTAACCTTCAGTACAAATTTTACAAAAATATAAATGTGCAAATATGAAACATACAGGTCAATATCACCTTGCTATTGGTAGCTGAACTGTCAATACCCCAAAACATATTCTTAGATATAAATACCTAATTTTGAGTTATTTAGACACAATTAACACTTATAGTTCAACACAGTCTCACGGCATTTCGTGTTATAGTCACGAAATTAATCTATTGATTCGTGTTCACCAACACGATTTCGCCATTTTTTTTTCCTGTCACACAGAACGATTTTAAAACCAATGTAAATAATAACAAATTAGAAGGAAAAAGACATTTAAAAAAATACAGATTTAAGTATTCTGACACAGAACGATTTTAGAAGCAATGTATTTATATTGGTAGTATGTTTCGTGCCTGCACCAAATAATAACAAATTAGAAGGAAAAAAAGATGACATAAAATACAGATTTCAGTATTCTGAGGCTCTGAGCCCCATTTCTTTTCCTCGCTGACGGCAAAAAAACTCAGACATTATACAATTTAAAATAAAAGGGATAGGGTTAGGCTTAGGGTAAGATATTGAGTAAGAACATGTTTTTATGAACCACACAGCTTCTGATCTTCCAAGACCCGACCGGACAAAAAGACGTGTTGCAGGCACGAAACATACTACCAATAGAAATACATTGCATTTAAAATCGTTCTGTGTGACACGAAAAAAAGGTGACAATCGTGTTGGTGAACACGAATCAATAGATTAAATTAATTTCGTGACTAATAACACGAAATGCCGTGAGACTGGTTGTATAGTTTCATGTCTTGTTACATAAGAACAGATCATATTTGTTAAGTGTTATTATGGGAGAATTACTATTCTTGTGCTACTACTGCCTTATTAGGCCCATATTGAGCAGCGCATATTAAGACCAAAACTCATGTACAACAACTTCCTTACTTGCAATAAATAAGCACTAATTAGAGGGTTATTGAGGAAAAACTCTCAACTAATGGCTTATTACTTGTAGAATATGGTCATGTAGAACAAGGCATTAATAAGTGTTTTATAATGACTAATAAAGAGCCAATATACTGCTAATATGCATGTTAATTAACAACTAGTTGATGGTTAATTTGTGTACCTTAATATAAAGTGTTACCGCTTTTTTTTTACCACGATTTATCATTTTGCACACTAATTTCAGCACTCTTGCATTTAGATAGTGGAAGCATAGAGGGTCAGTCATTCATCTGAGCCCTGTTTCCCAAAAGCATGTTGTTACGAACCTTCTTAAGCTTAAGAGAGCTTTCAGACAGACTGGTTGCAGCTTCTAATTACCTCAAATTCTGACAGACATCCCATGCATTGTACTATAATCTCATCACACAGCTACAGTATTCAAATTAGTTTGCAGTTCAACAGAGGAAATGGTTTTGAATATCACACAATTAATATAGCACATTTTAGAAGCTGATGTTGCTTCGAGACCATCTTCCCTGGTTTAGAGGTGTATCATTCAGGAAACCCACATCTGTAAAGTCATCTCCTGTTTCCATCTCCGTACTTTCTATAGTGGCCTAGTTTAACCATGATATACTCATAAAGAAATGTTTTTCTAAAGCATCGTATGTAAAGAGGTTTTTAAAAATATGTTTTTTACATTCGAAAAGAAACGTCTGTAATCTTTTTTGAGCTAAATAAACTACCCAGCATGAACACTTTAATAGCTTATATAATGATTAGGGTCTAAAAGTTGGAAAATGCGATAAAAGCTAAACCCAGAGTTATTTTCCCTCTACATTCATCTGACTGAGCCGAGAGTGGGAGATCGGAGGCGGGGCTTAAGGGAAAATGTATGTAATTACTGTATTTAATGTCACCGTTGGTTCAATGGTTCTATTCTTATAAAGCCTCAGCATCAGTTTCGCTTGAGTAATAAGAACTGACCAGCTCTGCCGTCACTCACACAACTTGAATAACTGGCCCTACTGTAAAACCTTTTAAAGGTCTGACAGTGTAGAAACATGTTTTTTTGCCAGAGCCCTTTGTGTTGGGGGATCACATTTGCTCGAGGAGGTAACAACTGAGGAATACGGTAACAATGTTTCAGCTTGGATGGAAAATGCACATGTGTCCTGGGGCTTTATGAACCGTGCTTATAAAAGAAAGTATAAAGATGGAGGTGGAGAGGAGGGCAATAACACACACACTCCAACACACACAGGTCCGTTAAAAGCTGTAGCTTATAGCCTGGTACGGCACAAAAGAGTTCACAAGGTGCCTGAGCATCAGTAAAGATTACTGTCTGAAACACCTTAAGACCCTCTGTAGAAGCTCCATAACTTGTCAAAGGACACAAAACTACGTGTTTCAAATGCTTTAAGTCATTAAGACTTGATGAAACACACAAAAAAACAATTATCAAATGATTCAATGGCTGCTTATTATATATCACCTGACTGATTTGCATCTAACTGTTTCCGTCACCATCATATTGTCACCTTGCTTTTGTCATTAGAGGCTGCCATTACCCACAATGCAATGATCACAGTCATGGGGTCAGAAACACTGGTCTTGGATTTAGTTAAAGATACATTCCTATCTATCATTGTTGATGTCTGAAGTGATTTTGGAAGGCTGTATCAAAATGGGAAATATATCGTAGTATGCTTTGTCATTTTAAAAGCTCAGAGGACAAATAGCATCTGTCATTGTGAACACTAATGAAGTGAAGTGACTGCAGCAGCAGCAGTTAACAGCTGTTCCTTACTGTTCACACACAGGTAAACCTGGTACCAGCAGCATACTGTACGCTGCCATGCAAAACACTTTCAGATCCTTATGTTTTCATGATGAAATATACCGTTATCTTTAGGAGGTAACCTGCCATGGTACATTTTGTATCACTCTATAGTGTTTGTAATTACCAACCAGGCACACCATTGTAATGCAAACGGCAGAGATGGCAAAAGTACACACATCCTTTACTCAAATAGAAGTACAGATACTCGTGTTTAAAAATACTCTGGTAAAAGTAGAAGTACTGACTAAACTTCTTTACTCAAGTAAAAGTAAAGAGGGCTTTGAAATGTACTTAAGTAAAAAGTACCCATAACTACCATCTGTTTTAAAGAGTACCTGACCTCCCTTTATATTAATAGAACAATAATGTCATTGTTAGCTAATGAATGTTTCCATGCTGAACAACGGCAACATGACAACGTTTTCATTGGTCCCTCTTCTTTAGAGAAGACCAGGAAATGATGGATACACGGATCGTGTTCAAATCAATAGGCACGCAATGACTCTAAATAATAATGATCACGCCACCAAACACACATTCAAACTAAAGGAACCAGCCTGCTTGGAAAATCCAACAGCAGTGTTATTGTAATGTAAATCTGTACGTCAGCACACCTGTTGTTGATACATGTATGGCTGATGTGTGCGCGGTATTCCATACCTTCTTTTCCCTGGCTTCCATCTGTCGTTTCCTCTTCACTTGGCTTCTGGCAATGCTTGCAAACTTCCTGGCCACAGTCCTGGGACGGCTGATTGGGATTGAACGCCTCTCAGCGCCCTCTACAGGAGGGCAGATCTCCAGAGCTGTGATGCACTCGTCCCCCGCCTTCTTCGTTACGATCTTTATCTTGGACCATCTCGAGCTGGCTCCGCCCTTGGCCAATTCAACATTGGTGGTTGTCGTGGCAACTGGGTCTGGATTGCTTGCATCCTGTAACAAAACCAAGAGACTTTGTTGAGAAAGGTCACAACATTTCTTCAGATATTTTGACTAACCCTAACCCTAACCCTTTTGACTTCATTCACAACTTTTTCAACTTCTGTCCAAATAGAAATCTCTGTCTTTCATCCGTGTAATTTTTTTCAGAATGTTGAAAATAAAGCATGGACTAGAAAAAAGAAAGTTGTCAGACATTGAATACCAACCTCAGATATGACCTCGTTCTTGGTGCCGTCCTTTGGCTTTGTTGGGGGAATGAAAGCTGTGGAAGAGTCGTTGGAGCTCTCCTTTTCCTCCTGAACAGTTGGACAGATACATTGTTACATTTTGTTTCATTTAAAGGAGGACCCTTTTATCCTAAGCGGACATGGCTTAGACTATGGGAGACATCTGGGTTTCAGTTTCTTGCCAAATAACACTTGGACACGTGATCCCCCTCCATATAATGTGTGCTACATAGGACATATACTTGCTACCGCTATCATTTTGGGTGGTCTTTCTGTTCCTACATTTGTGACCCTGTCCGCTATCTCCCACTCCTATACAACTTTAGGAAGCTGAAGCATGGTTCAGCAAAATGCCTTTCCTCCGTTTTCACCACATCTAGAGAATTGAGTACAGAGCATTAGTCATGGATCAGGTGTTCTGTTACAGCCAGATACTGATGGTTCTTACTGATGTGGGTGGTCTCCAGTCAGCGCAATACAAGTCTCTTGTAGCAATTTCTTTGCATTTCCACTGCCATGTGATGGAATTACGGCAGGACGTTTTGGTCAGCTTTCATAATGTGATTCATTTGCAATATTTAAAAACATTTAAAATTATTTTTATGGAGTTAGGTTTCCAAATTAACACAAACCTCTAAGGGAAACACTCAATTTATTTACAATCTGTAAACAGTACCAGCTGCTTCTATAATTTGATATGGTCACCTTTTAAAAATATATATACTGCTACTCCACCATGGTGTTATTTGTTTTACTTATTGTGTTTTTTGTATTAATAACCTTTTGTTATTTATATAATTTGTACTCATCTGCACTATACTTCTGCTGTTGTAACACTGTACATTTCCCCATTGCGGGACAAATAAAGGAATTCTAATTCTGATTGACAGCCATAGTAGAACCTATTTACGCCCTGTCCACGCTGCTGTGGGCTGTGCCTGGCTCAGTACCTTTGTCAGTACCTGGGTCAGTACCTGGGTCAGTACCCGGGTCAGTACCTGGGTCAGTACCTGGGACAGTACCTGGGTCAGTACCTGGGTCAGCAACTGGGTCAGCACCACAGTACCTGGGTCAGTGCCTGGGTCAGTACTGGGTGAGTACCTGAGTCAGTACCTGGGTCAGTCTCTGGGTCAGTACCTGGGTCAGTCCCTGGGTCAGTCCCCGGGTCATTACCTGGGTCAGTACCCGGGTCAGTCCCTGGGTCAGTCCCCGGGTCATTACCTGGGTCAGTACCCGGGTCAGTCCCTGGGTCAGTACTGGGTGAGTACCTGGGTCAGTACCTGGGTGAGGCCCGGGCTGGGCTGAGCTTCAGGCAGTGGCTGAGCAGGTTTGGGTTCCTCCGTCCTGCCGTTCTTCACCGCCTCCAGTGCCGTGGTGGTGGAGTCCAGATTGAGTTTGGGGGTGGAGCGGGGGCTGGCCTGAGGACTGGTCTCGTTGTTGTTGTTCTGCTTCAACAGGTGACTCTTCAGCAGGCTGGGAGTTCTGATTAACACAACAATGATTATCTTTACAAAGCATACACCGTTAGAACATCTCTGCCGTTTTTTAAATACACAAATGGATATGAGTGATTAATTGTGAACATATTATGGTAATTCATTCTGCAGCAAATTGTGTGTATGATTAATTAATGTGAAGAGCCTGGGTGAGAGGCATCTAGTGCCAGTTTGTGATTTATTGACCCATTTCTTAACTCTTTTGGTTAAACAAACAATTCCCCTTCTCTGGAAGTTGTTAAATTTAAGATGAGCATATATGATAATTGGATAATGCTAGTAGGAACCGCTACATATTCAGAATATGTAGAAAAATATTCATGTAGTCTATGTATTATTAGAATGTACAAAAAGAAGTAGACAAACTAGTTGCACATCACCAAATATAGTGCTCAACTACGATGTGTATATAAATGTAGAAACACACAGTATACACAAATATGAAATGTATATATGTAAATATGAATCTGAATGATGTTAAAGAAGATTTATATTTGATCTTTGGATCTATAAAGTTAATAACAAGCGTCTCCATCTCTTGGCGTTCAAACCGGCAGAATGCTGTGAAGACGGAGAGGCAACCTTTAAAGGTCAGACTTTATTGATCAAAAGTTTCCAGGGTAAGAGGAAGTATGACATCGTTCACAGCGAAGTGTGTGGTTGTCAATCAGTGTCATAGATGCATGGTTAAAGTCATAACTGTCAATCAAGAAAAGATGAGTTTGGCATTTTTCCTTTTCACTCAGGAAATGATTTGTCACGCATGAAGTGCATTTGATTCCTTAGATGCTCTTACTTTATTCCCTTCTTCTCTTTTTTCTCTGGCTTGTGTTTGGAGACCCTGCTCCTGGAGGCAAGGGAAATGTGGATGTACAGGACCGTCATTATGATGACAGGAAGATAGAAAGCTGCTATGGCCGTACCAAACGTCGCCGCAGGGTTTGAAAGGAACTGTAGGAAGAAAGAAAGAAAAATGACAGAAAAAGGACAGAAAGAAAGAGAGATTTTTAGGTATACTTGTACAGTATAATGCAATCAAATACAACATATCTAAAAATTGAATATTTGTAAAAAGTGTTGCTGACACTGTTGCTTAAACTGTTAATCTTTGAGGTGGTGTTACTGCACTGTATTATATGAAAATGATAGTATTTTTACTCAGACATTAGGGGTATTATAGTATTAGAAATGGGAGCATAGAGCAATGAAAGTGTGAAGACTCTAAATGCCTTAAAATGTAGTCTTTCACAGTATTCTTTATAGACTTCAGTGTGTGTGTGTGTGTGTGTGTGTGTGTGTGTGTGTGTGTGTGTGTGTGTGTGTGTGTGTGTGTGTGTGTGTGTGTGTGTGTGTGTGTGTGTGTGTGTGTGTGTGTGTGGAACGGTGTGTGACTCCACCTGTCTATGTTGGGGAACAGTACACGAGTGAAACAGCAAAGAGCCTGGAGACTGAGTGAGAACCCAACAGCAGCTGTCTGTGAACACTGGACCAGAACCATACAGTCTCTTGGATGCTCCATGAGGACCGCTGCAACAGGCAGGTTGAGGGCCACGACGCTATTGGGTAGCCAAGCTAGCATGAGCATTAGCAATTATGCTAACACTTTTACTCACTGCAAACTACTTTTGGCTAGACAAGCTGTTTCACAATGGCATCCAGTGCATTTGGAATAAGAATGAGTGCCTAGCAGTTGAATTACTCCGCCAACCAGTCCATGTCTGTCCACAAATATCATCACTTATTATTATTTGAACATGTGTGCACCCATGAATATCATAATTAGCCTATGACATATTGATATGACCATGTTTTGAGACATCTCAGTAACCTTTGGCCCTATTTCTGTACACATGGTGAACAGAGGTGATGAGGCCTTTGGCTTTGGAGTCACATGACACTCCCCTTGCAGGATGTAGAGATACAAGAGTTTCTCCACTGCATCCACTGGGGAGAGGTCAAAGGTCATGGACTAGGAGTCAGCTGAGTACCAGAGAAAGATCAATATAGCCAGGGGTGCACATAACTGGTACGCAGGTACGCATGCCCGGCAACAATCTGAAATGCGTACCGTCACTTGTGTCACAAAGCGCATTTGCGTACCGACGTACTTGTGAAGCTTTTCCAGAAGGCGGTTAGATCACCGGACGACTGAGTCGGTCTCCGTGTGCACAGACAGGGCTGCTGTTAACGTCAGTCTGTACAGCAGCACTGCGCTAAAACAGCTGATCACAACGTTCACACGCTCCGCGGTCACGAAGCTCTGTACTCCACTACCACCCCCCCGGTACAGACCGACGTTAACAGACAGGGTTAGCATCGGTCTTATTTAGCGCAGGGCTGCTGTTAACGTCAGTCTGTACAGCAGCACTGCGCTAAAACAGCTGATCACAACGTTCACTCTGTGGTCACGAAGCTCTGTACTCTGTACTCCACTACCCCCCCCCGTTGACATTCGCGATACAGAGGGCTTCATGGGAACTTTGAGGGGAGCCAGAAGTTGGAGTACCAAACACTGACTCCAGGTACTCATCTGAGTACCTCACTGAGAAAGTTGTGTGCACCCCTGAATATAGCAATGTAAACCTGACACCATGTATGTCACATGATATTCCATCTGAGCCGGATTTATTCACTGTATGAAGACAGTGATAGCTAAAGATACTGTAATAAGGATAGGAGTTAGGAGTACTTTAATCACACATGAACAGGTTGTTTTAGATGTGAGCCTTATTCCTGAAGGACAGATATGGCAAAAGTACACACATCCTGTACTCAAGTAGAAGTACAGATACTCGTGTTTAAAAATACTCTGGTAAAAGTAGAAGTACTGACTAAACTTCTTTATTCAAGTAAAAGTAAAGAAGTATAGGCTTTGAAATGTACTTAAGTAAAAAGTACCCATAACTAGCAGCTGTTTTAAAGAGTACCTGACCTCCCTTTATATTAATAGAACAATAATGTCATTGTTAGCTAATGAATGTTTCCATGCTGAACAACGGCAACATGACAACGTTTTCATTGGTCCCTCTTCTTTAGAGAAGACCAGGAAATGATGGATACACGGATCGTGTTCAAATCAATAGGCACGCAATGACTCTAAATAATAATGATCACGCCACCAAACACACATTCAAACTAAAGGAACCAGCCTGTTTGGAAAATGTAAGAAGTAGAAAGTACAGGTATTTGTGTTCAAAATGTAAGAAGTAGAAAGTACAGGTATTTGTGTTCAAAATGTAAGAAGTAGAAAGTACAGGTATTTGTGTTCAAAATGTAACAAGTAGAAAGTACAGGTATTTGTGTTCAAAATGTAAGAAGTAGAAAGTACAGGTATTTGTGTTCAAAATGTAACAAGTAGAAAGTACAGGTATTTGTGTTAAATATGTAAGAAGTAGAAAGTACAGGTATTTGTGTTCAACATGTAAGAAGTAGAAAGTACAGGTATTTGTGTTCAAAATGTAACAAGTAGAAAGTACAGGTATTTGTGTTCAAAATGTAAGAAGTAGAAAGTACAGGTATTTGTGTTCAAAATGTAACAAGTAGAAAGTACAGGTATTTGTGTTCAAAATGTAAGAAGTAGAAAGTACAGGTATTTGTGTTCAAAATGTAACAAGTAGAAAGTACAGGTATTTGTGTTCAACATGTAAGAAGTAGAAAGTACAGGTATTTGTGTTCAACATGTAAGAAGTAGAAAGTACAGGTATTTGTGTTCAAAATGTAACAAGTAGAAAGTACAGGTATTTGTGTTAAATATGTAAGAAGTAGAAAGTACAGGTATTTGTGTTCAAAATGTAACAAGTAGAAAGTACAGGTATTTGTGTTCAAAATGTAACAAGTAGAAAGTACAGGTATTTGTGTTAAAAATGTAAGAAGTAAAAGTAAAAAGTCGTCAAATAAGTAGTGGAGTAAAGTACTGATACCAGAAAAATGTACTTAAGTACAGTAACAAAGTATTTGTACTCCACTACTTCCCACCTCTCCTGAAGGATCTGTTGAGTTTGCTGCACTGTACCTGAATGTAACACTCTCCAGGGGGCACTGTTCGCTGTCCAACGATGAACTGCCAGAACAAGATGGCAGGAGCCCACAGGATGAAGGACAGGATCCACGCTGCTGCGATCATCAGCCCCGCCATCTTGGTCGTCCTTCTTGATGGGTAACTGAGGGGTTTGGTCACGCAAAAATAGCGATCAAAGCTGATGATCAATAAATTCATCACGGAGGCGTTGGAGACAACATAATCTAAAGCTAGCCATAAGTCACAGACCACCGGGCCCAGCGGCCAGTAGCCCACGATGATGTAGACCGTGTACAGATTCATGCTGAAAGCCCCTATGATCAGGTCAGCGCATGCTAATGAGAATAGGAAATAGTTGTTGACAGTTTGTAGGTGGCGGTTTACTTTGATGGAAAGCATGACTAATATATTTCCTGTTACAGTCACAAAGCTCAGAGATCCTGTAACTAAGGCGATGAAGAACATCTCCAGAGCCTTATATGGACTTCCTGCCCCCTGTCCTTCATCCACAGGAGAGCAGAAGGTGGAATCATTGGAGGAGGTGTTGCAGGAGGTGTTGGAGAACAGGTCAGAGGATGGGATGACCGATGAACCTGGAGACAAAAAGAAAGAACATTAGTTTTCAAACTATGCTCTTTTGGGAAACAGGTTAGGGTTAGGGGTCAAGATGAATAACGAAATGTTTTTGTCAGTCAAACAACACATATAGGAGAAAGGTAACTTGTGATAATAACCCTCAGGTCTACTTAGAGATGATGAATGACTTTGGGAAAGCACAGGCCGGAAAGAAATCGTAGTTATTTGTAATTACAAAAGAGACTTTTCATTATCAAATGTCTCAATGTTTCATTAATGGATGAAGTACATGTACTTTTTCATTCTCATGCTAGCCATAAAAAAAAAGGTTGACTTTGGTAACTGATCTGCAGGCACAATTTTGGTTTTCCATAAGTATACGCGTCATTGGGTTTATGAAAGGCGCTAAATACATTTCAATTATTATTATTATTATTAATACATTGTAAACAATATGCCGCAGAACTAAAAAGGCTCCCCTACATATCCAGTTCCCTTGTGAAATAGCATTTTCTTATCAGAATAAGAAATAAAATGAATTTCTCTTGGCTGTGTCACGATAAAAGCCACTCCTATTTCCTAATCCACGTTTGCTCTAACAGGAAAAACATCTTCTCATAGTCCCAATAGAACAGTAACCTCCATAAACAGTGCACACATACAGTAGTGTATATGTTGGCCATTTAGATCATCCAACCTCTTCACAACACTGCACCAGTAGTAACTGCTAAATAAAATATTACTCAGAGTAGATGAACAAACCACATCAACACAACATGACTCTGAACAGTAACAAATGATTATCTTTATGATTTGGTGACTAAAATACCTAATGTAAGGACTGGTGAGAGTGGATGAGCCTGAGTGAAGTGGCGATGATGACTCATGTTTCTGTGCCGGTGATTACAGCTTTGCTAACTTTGTATAAATGTGTTTCATCCCTCTGCCTCACAGAGAAGCTCCTCAGAGACTCTCAAGTCATTAGTCAGAGCCCCACACACTATTTTAAACACTTTCCGCAAATATGTCCACTCATGAAGATTCTACTTCAGGCCCCCTAGCCTCTGAACATCAGCCAATCAGCAGGCAGCAGCTCAAGGGTGTTACTGGTTCAGAACAGAGAAAAAACTAATAAACTACACACAATTTAAAGGATATGCAAAAGAAGAAAAGCTGAACAGAAACATATTTTAAGGTTGAAGGGAGGACAATTACTTTAGAAGACTATTGTTTTGGTCAAGAGTTCGGCACCAAACCTCTGACGTTACGTGCCTAATGTGTGTTTGTGTCTCTCCCCCCCCCTGATTGCCCTCCTCCAGGTGCAGCCACTCACTCAGGTGCTCCCAATCCCCAATCAGGGCCTCCATGAAGGCCTGAAGAAGGCTGCCGTTTCCTCTAGTGATGTTACGTATTGCGCCGAGGTTTCAGAGCGTGTGTCGAGTAATCCCCGAAGCTTTTTGTGAAGTTTGTATCGAGGCTTGTATCGTTTTGGGCCAGTGATGTCATCGATGACAAACGAAGCCTCGCTGCCTGTCGATACCACGTGACTGCTTCAGGAAGCGACTCAGATCTTGGCGCGAGCTTCTGACAGATACAACCCCATGGGATTCGATTCAAAATGTGTGAACCTTGTGATAGAGGAGAACGCTTGTCGTTTGCCAGTTTTGGTTGTACGATATTTTTGCAACTCGTTAGAATGGAGCCAGCAAAGAAGAGAAGGACTTCCCATGTGTGGGAACACTTTGATCTGATTTCTCCCAATAAGGTAGGTTGCATACATAGTCTATTACAACAGATGTATTATGTTAGATTTTGTATGGTTCATTTTTTTACTTTTTCTATTTTATTCAAAGGTGAAGTGTTTATTGTGCTCCAGGGAACTGGGTTACAATAACAATACTTCATCCATGCTAAGGCATTATCGTGCCATACATGAGATCAAGGAGGGACATGGAGGTGGACCTGCTCAAGGTTTGTCATTTCATATTTTGGAATAATACTTTATAATTTAACCATGTTAACTTCACTTTATCATGCAAATAAAAGAAAGTTACAAGATACTCATTCTTAACACAGCTTCCCTTCCCCAATAGAAGCTTGTATCGGTGCAAAAGCAATTGGGAAGGCCCACACTGAAGCTCCTGCAAGAGGTGGAGACCCGCTGGAACAGCACATATCACATGCTGCAATGTCTGGTGGACCTCAGAGAACCAGTTGGTGCGGCATTAGCCAGTTTGAACATGGAAATCACCACACTGACCTCTGCTGAGTTCACCACCATAAGTGGGTGCCTCTCTCTGCTGTCTGCATTCAATGATGCCACCATTGAGCTTTCTGAGGAGACAAATGTATCTGGGTCCAAGGTTGTGCTCCTCCTGGAGCAAATGCTTCAAGAGGAGATGGCAAAAACCGCAGTCTTAACATCTATTAAGGCAGCTAAGAGAGAGGCTCCACACACTCCAATCAATGAGCGTCATTGGCAACGCTACTGGACCCTAGGTTCAAACTGATCGGATTTTTTTAGCCCTTTTAAAAGCTGCAGAAGCCACAAAAAGGCTTGTGACTGAATGTGGTGCACTAATCCGAACACCTGAAGCCGTGCCCCAAGAAAATCCATCCACATCTCAACCTGCTGAACAAGAAACCCCAGGTAATTTTTATTAATTTTGAAGTAATTACTACATCCACTGACACTCTCTGTGTATACTTTTCAGGAAACAAACTCTGGCATAAATTGGATCAGACTGTAAAGCTGTCCAGGAAGACCAAGAATGCGACAGCTGACGCAACTGTTGAAGTCCAGCGGTACCTGGCCGAACCAAATATCGGACGCTTGGAGGACCCTCTGAACTACTGGCAGACACAAAAACATGTGTATCCAAACCTGTATAAACTTGCAGTCACTTTGTTGTGCACACCTGCTTCCTCAGTCCCGTGTGAAGGGGTATTTTCAAAGGCAGGAGAAGTTGTATCAAAGAAAATAAATCGCCTAAGCCCAAAAACTGTCGAAAGAATATTGTTTTTAAACAAAAACCAATAAAATTGTTCCATGTATCACAAGCATTTTCACTGCCCTCTGCAAAGTCACACAAGCACATTCACTGCCCTCTGCAAAGTCACACAAGCACATTCACTGCCCTCTGGCAAGTTAAACCCTTCTTCTTTTCCAGTTTTCGAACATATATTGCTTCTTTTGTCTTTATAGAAGGCAGCAGACATTTACATGTATTTATGTATATATAAGAACAAGATACTATATTGATACATTGTTTTTATTATTATATACAGTCATTTTAAGACACTTACTGGTGCAAAATTCTGTTCATACAGGATTACAAATACATTTTACATCTTTTACACTTTTGTATCATTATTTCCAGTATTTTTAGTATGTCAACAGGGGGTCTTGTGTGCACATGAAGTCCATGATGAAGCCTCATGAGATGAACCTTTTAGTGAACCGATTTGCTGGAAAGCTTCATAAGGCTTCATCTCTCCATCACTAGTTTCCTCTACTCTTTTGTGTCCATAACTACAAAAGTGTATTTCTAAATGCACTCAACGTTTGCTATCTTGGCAACAAGTCGTGCGTCCATCCAGGATTGTGGTTACTCCGGTGAACATAGCACTACACAAATAAAAGTAATGTAGAAGAATAGAATAGAATAGAATATCTTTATTGTCATCACACATCAGTGTAACGATGTGTGTAATGTACTGGCCTCTGTTGATTTTGTAGGGGTTAATTGAGCAGTCTGTAATGATTCGCTAAAGTTGCTAGCTAGTACCTTACCGTTCGCTAGTTAGCTAGCTGTGTGTGATTTGAGACAACAACACCCAGTCCAAAATCAAATACTGCACGTTTTTACAATGTACAACATGCTGATCTTTCCAGTTATTTACTGAGAGCCACATTAACTGTTTTTTGAAAGGCAGAACTCAGAGGCAGAAGTACCGCAGGGTTGCCAACTTTGGGTACCTGGCTGGAGTGAGATTTTGATATCATGGGTTTAATTACACATATGCGCACGAAATGACTGCTATCGTGTCAGCAGCGGGAACTTAGCATATAGGATATATATATACAATATATACAAATACACAATAATGGACACAGACTATAAAGGGCACACAGTTTCATTCACTAATGAAAGTCAAACATGTTTGTTTCCACTGTTCTATTTCATACTTACTGACTGCTTTAGCACTGGATATCTTCTGTGTCGCGCATGCGTAGGTCGAATATTTATATCAACAAAGTCACGTGTGACCTCGTATGACCCCGGAAGGTATAAGTTCCGGTGCTGTCAACGAGCTCAGTCCTTTTTCATCTTCTCGCTGCGCAGGTTACTACTTATGAGTAGAAGCCAAGCTAGCTTACTGAAAATTAAGATTCTAGCTCATCGCTACCTGTAGCCTTGCGATCGTTTGATCGGAGCTGCGGGCTAGGAAAAACGCTCGCCCTCCAAAGGCTGCGACGAGCTGTCCGTCCTCCCAAGGGAGAGGACCGCGGTGTTCACCGCCCGGACCCCAGGAGCTCCGGACCGGTAAAGAGCGGACGCTCCTGCACACAGCCGGTGAGATCGCTACCAATTATTGCTGATTGTGCTATATCTATATACTCTCAAACTAATGAGATAATTGTGTACAAATTAACCGAGGGCTCTCGCTAATTTGTTACTGTTACCTGTACTATCATCCAGTTAGCTGAGTGCTCCCGCTGAAGGCTAACTTTCTACTGCGCTAGTGAGGAGAGCGTCTCCGCCCTCCTGCTCACTACATACTTTTGGTTCTTTACCTGTACTATCATCCAGTTAGCTGAGTGCTCCCGGTGAAAGCTAACTTTCTACTGTGCTAGTGAAGAGAGCGTCTCCGCCCTCCTTCTCACTACATACTTTTGGTTCTTTACCTGTACTATCATCCAGTTAGCTGAGTGCTCCCACTGAAAGCTAACTTTCTACTGCGGTAGTGAAGAGAGCGTCTCCGCCCTCCTTCTCACTACATACTTTGGTTCTTT